GGTTTCTTCTCTGGAGTTACTACCATTAAAAAAGATCAGCAAGTAACTACCACCAATAAAATAGTCTGAAGCTGCCTCCAAATTTAACATTGTAAGAGTTCTGAAGGAAATAATTGTATTATTTTTCTTTTGCCTGTGACTATGCTTTTAAAGATGTGTTTAACTGTCACATTAGAAAGTCCATATACAATACAAAAATACAAAACACGCATAGGAATCAGGTCACTCAGGTGGGCTGAAGGGAACCTTGGCAGCGGGAGACCAGCACACAAGCCCTGGGGCCTGCTTAGTCCTTGTCTGTGCTGCTGGGATCTGAGACTGAGAAAGGCCTTGCTCTGAGGTGGTGAGCAACCCCAGCACCAACCTGTGGTCGGCTCCCTTGCAGTAGTTGAGGGAGAAAGGGAGACCAGGAGAGAGAAGCTAGCAAATCCCTCCTGCTTCCCAGCCCTCCAGCCCGGGGGCACAAGCACAGGGCACCACACTCACCGCAGCAGTCAGCATAGTCGCAGTGCCTGGGCGTGTAGTGCCTGCACAGCCGGCTCAGCAGCAGGCGGTAGTGCACCAGCCGCTGGATGGGCTTCAGCAGGAAGCTGTTGAGTGGCAGGTAGCAGACTTTCTGGAGCTCAAACTCTTTGTACACCGTCTCCAGTTTCTTATAGCGTTTGGTGGCCTTTTCCAGTTCTGTCAGAACCTCGTCGTGCCTTTGGAAGTAGCTGGTAAACTCCTGTTGGGGCACAAAGGTTTAAGTGAGGGGATACGGAGTGGGCAGAATTCACAATGTGGACAGCAGACATAGCTGGTGCAGGACAGGACAGGAGGGACAGTGCAGCCAGTCTCTCTCCAGCCCCCTTTGCCATCTCAGACTCCACCTTAATCTGGGGGTCAGGCCCCCCCCCACCCCTGCTCACTGCTCTGACATTCATAGTGAGTGAGCAGGGACCTTCTTCCCACCGCAGAGATTAAGAATGGAGGCCAGGAGGGCTGTAGCTTGCCTCACAGGACACAGCATGTATGCTCAGCCTAGCTCCAACCCTTGCTCCAGAAGCATCACTCGTGGGTGGGGCAGAGCAGTCACACTGACTCGGTTCCTGGGGGCAGGAAGAAACCAGGCCAAACACCTTACAACATGAACTGAAGTCCTCACACATGGACTCTGGGTGTTCCAGACTCGAGTCCTTGCCAATGTATTCAGTGGAACGCTGGAGATGGCTCATATGGTAGGATATGCTGCATGAAATGGATTTATGCATTTTACTTATTAAATCAGTGTGAGTGGTTTTGGAATGAGTAGAACCGTCTAGTTAACAACTGGCTTAGAAACCAAAAAAATGCTGGGGCAGAAGGGGGCTGAGCAAGATGGAACTCTTCAGGCAGGTGCTACCTGAAGACAATGCAAAGGGAGCCTATGGCCTCAGGAATTCCACCCAAGGGGTACTGTGTGGATAGGGATGAGGAGCCTCCTGGCAACAGTGTGATACAAGCAGGGTTCCACATCCTGGGGCTGCCATGTGGTGAACTGTGTGCACACAAGGTGTAGGGGAGAGGCCTGGCCCAAGTCTGTATAGCAAGAGTAAGGCCCTACGTAGTGATCTGATCACCTGCAAAGTGGACGTGTTTCTTCTAAGTGTGCTTCTTCTAAGCACTCTGTTCCAAAGTAAGCCTGTCATGAGGAAAGGTTTGCTGTTTTAAGGTGTTTTTTTTTTTTTTGAGACAGTGTATTGCTATGCAGTTCAGGCTGGCCTGGAGCTCATTTTGTAACCTAGGCTGGTCTCAAACTCTCAACAATCCTCCTGCTTGGGATCTCACTACTAGATCAGACTCATAGTGATCTACCTATATATAGCCTCCCAAGCGCTGGGATTACAGGAGCGCACCACCATGCCCAGTCTCATTTGCCATCTCAGGGTGCTCCAGGGTTGGCACAGCAGGCTTGGGGATCGAACTTCCAGCCCCCTGCGCCTGCTTGCAGGCACTTTAATCTGCTGACCTATTTGGCCGGCTCTAAGAAGCATGTTTTGAGATGTGCTATTACAGCAGAACACTGTTCTGAAGAACTCTAACAGGAACCCAGTTCTAAGAAAAGTTCTATGAGGGAATTACTGTTCTGAAGAAACAATGCTCTGAACAAAAAGCTGTTCTGAGGGGAGAGCTGTACTGAGCAACCCTTTTCTGAGATGAGCACTGTTCTGAGTGCAATCTTAGGCTAAAGGGATCCTCTTCTGAGGGAAACCTTGGGAAAAGCTATTTTAAGAAGAACCCTGCTCTGAAAGGACTCTTGTTCTGAAGAAAGTACTGTCTGAGGGGGCACTGTTCTGAGGAAGATATTATTCTTTTTTAAGGATCCTAGTCTAAGCAATGCTTTCTCAATGGCACTTCATTCAGGGGAATCCTTCTGAGGGCAACCCTGTTGTTAGGAATTACTTTCTAAGGTGGCTCTGAGGAGACTGCTGCTCTGTTTTGCTTTCTTGTTTGTTTTTATGAGACAAGGTCTTCCCATATTTCAGACTGACTTCATTGACAACCTACTATGTACTTCAGACAGACCTGACTCACTGCAATCCTGTCTCAACCTCCTAGGGCTAGGGTTACAGATATGTGCACAATTCATGGTAGGGAAACTCTGTTCTGAAGGTTACCTTGTCCTGGGAAAATGTTTGGAGGGGAAAACTGTTATTTCTTGCAAAAGTATTCTGAGGAGAAATCTGTTTTGAGGAGAACCCTACTGAAAGAAAACTATTCTGAGAATAATGTGATAAAAAGCCTATGTTCTGCGGAAATAATATGACAGGGAAAGATACTCTGAGGAAATCTCTTTCTGAGATATGCTGTCCTGAGTAGACCCTATTTGAAGGAGCACTGTTAAAGGGAAGGCTACTCTTAGGAGAACGCTACTTGAAAAAGTTATTCTTAGGGAAACTGTCCTGTGGAAGGAGGTTGAGAGGAATGCTATTTTGAGAGAATTACTGAAGGGGAACTTGTTTTGAGCCACCGTATTCTTAGAGGAACAGTACTCTAAGGGAGACCCTGTTCTGAGGAGAATGCTATTTTGAGGGGAATCCTATCCTGCGGAATCTTTTCCTGAAATGACATTTTGTGGGTTTTTTTTTTTTTTTTTGTGGAACCAGGGATTGAACTCAGGCCCTAGCACTTGCCAAGCAAGCGCTTATTCTACTGAGCTATCCCCCCCGGCCCCTGAAATGATATTTTGATTGGAACTTTGTTTTGGAAAACAATGTTCTGAGTAGAACCTTCAAGGTTCTGAGGGGTAGGAACCCTGCTGAGGGTGAAGAAACCCTGCTTTGAAGTAAAGTACTGTTTTGAGGGAAGCACTGTTGTAAGAAGACTGCATTAAGTGCAACTCCATTCTGATGGAATGCTTTTTTGAGAGAAATACTGCTTCTGAGGGGAACTCTTTTTTTTTCTTTTTATGTATTTGGTACAGGGTCTCACTACACAGCTCTCACTGTGATCTTCCTATTTTTAGCCTCCCCAGCACTGAGATTACAGGCATGTGCCACCATGGCCTATCTCCATCTCCTGTCTCCACGGCACGCTCAGGGGTGAGGTGGGAGGGGGGTTGAGGCGCAGCATTTAGTGCCAGGGGTTGAACCTCAGTCCCTGTGCCTGCCTAAGCAGTTGCTTAGTCTGTGGAGCTATCTCACTGGCCCAGGTGAACACTATTCTGAGGAGAACTGTTCTGTGGGAAATCTTGTTCCAGAGCACACTATTTTTTTTTTTTTCCCAGAACATACTATTTGAATGAAATGTTCTGAGGGGAATCCTCCTCTAAAGGAAACTCTGTTGTCAAGAAAAATGTTATAAGGGGAGTTTGTTCTTGGGGATAGTTTCTGTTCTGGGAAATACTGTTCTGAAGGCAACACTGAGAACAACAGATTTGTTTTCACCCGCAACCTTTGTGCTAGGCCTGGAGCCATAAGAAAAGTTTGACCTACCTTTAACTGGCGCATGTTCCTGAGTAGGATGTCCCCAATTCGTTGATGATCATCTTTCGCATGGGCAGTGGAGAGCCCTTCCCTGGAGTAAAGAGAGACAACAGGTTTAAACCCCATGAAAGCTGGCAGAAAATACCATGACCTGATGGCAGCTTTATTAGCTGCCCTAATCACAATCATATGAATGATGGGATACTTTGAGGTGGAAGGGCCTTTACTTGACAAAACAATTACTACATGTCTTTGCAATTCTCTTAAAAGGCTTATAACAAGGTTAAAAAAGGTTCACCCACTTTTAATTTGGCCCTGTTTTCTGAAAAAGGATGAATAAAGGTTATTGCTAAATTTGTAGATCTCTCTCTAGGATTTAAAAATATACTTCAGTGACATAATGATTCTTCTAAATTAGTTTCTTGAAAATTCTTGAGAGCACGATGGTAATGAGGGCAGGGCCCACCCAAGGAGGCAGCACTCAGGGACTGTCCATGTATGGGCCCAGGCAAGGGAGCTACCAGTGTTTGCAGGAGCAGTGCCAGAAGTGGGAGCCACCCACATGAGCACCCAGAGATGCGGGGTCCAGGATAAGAGGGGCACCCAGCATGCAGCATTTTTACCAGAGCGCCAGCCTGTGCTCCACCTCATGCAGGAAGCCTCTGTGGAATTCGTAGACAGGATCAATGTTGGAGAAAAGCAGGGTCATCAGGGCTGTGGGCATGGCATCCTCCTTGACCACTGCACTGCGGAACCACTGTGGGAGGAGCGTGGCATGACAGGAGGCATGGCCTTTGCTGGGGACTAAGAGACCAGGCCTCTGAGGACCTATGACCACGGGACACCCAGCCAAGACCTCCCAGACACTGCCCGTGAGAGAGACTCAACCTAACACTGCAGCCATTCCTTTGCTGACCACTGAATCTTCAAATGTAGCAAAATAATTCTAGGTCAGAATTTTGAAAAGGACACATTTCCAGCTTCACAGCGTCACAAAAACCTGGACCTAACATTCTGACCTCAGCCATCGTGTCTCAAGGAAGGTATAAGTTAACTAACATTTATGCATGTAGCAATGATTATCAGGAGCTATTTCTCAAGATGGAACCTATGTTTAGGAAAAGAAAAGTACACAAGGACTAGGGTTTCATACCACAGTAATAACTTCTAAATCCTTTAGGTATGTTCGTTCTGTCGCAAGAATCTCCTTTGCTATGAAATAGGCCTCGTCTTCTGGCACACGCTGAAAGAAGGAGACAGTCATGAGCACGTCACCCTTTCGGGTTCAGGGAGGTCTGAAATCACTAACACCTGCTTTCTTCTGCCAGGTGACATAGCGTGGGACCTCTGGTCATAATTTCTGACGAGATGCACTGTGCTTCTAAGTAAAGTCACAATTAAGCCCAGGCCGGATGGTTAACAACCTAAGTTTGCAGACCAAAATTAGAGAAAAAGGAGGGCTGCAAGGAAAGCCAACATTTTGGCCTTAGCCTTCCAAGGTCAATTAAGACTCAAGACATGAGAACTTGTACTGTAATGTCATGTAACTTGGTAGTGTCCTACATTTTCTGATCACACCCTTATCACACCCAAATGCTACAAATCTTGCTGCATATGTCCTGCTTTACCTTGGTCTTCACCATCCAGTAGAAAAGTATAAAAATGAAATATAAGAAGTAAAGCCATGCTGTTATGTTGAGCTGTAGGGGACTCAGGTCAACAATTTCTGACATTGCCAGTCAAGCGGAAGACCCAATACTATTATGGGCTACTCTTTTAGAATATTTTGCTGAGTTTACACACCTATAATATTCAAAGAACGGATCTTAACAAAAAAACGTATACAGATGAATGTCCATTTTGTATCTGTGTATTCAAAGCACTTAGGATAGATATATAGTTACCTTCTCTTAATGAATAGAGCGATTTGTTCTAATAGTGTTTGTAAATAGGATATTATGTCTGCATCACCTACAGCAAATAACCTTTAGGAAGACAGTATGCAATGTGTTAATTATTGAAACTGTCCTATCAATTTGATTTGAAACTCTCTCATTGCTATTTGTTTATCAATAAAATTATGGGAAAAAAAAAAAAAAAACAATTAAGCCCAGGCCGCTCCTTCGCATGTTTCTATGACTCCTTGGAGAAAAGAACTGCTGCTCAAATGTTAGTATCCATAAACAGGGTGGAGCTTATTATTGGTTTTGTGATGAAATGATTACTCTCCTGTCACTGCCAGTGGCATAGCTGGTTAACAGACACAGAACTACAAATGTGTGTGTGTGCTGTGCAAGTGTGTGTGACATGACAAATAACAATTTAACTCATAAAAGTCACTAAAATGACCAATCAGGGTATGTTCCAAAGGTCCCTCGTGCACAGCACAAGGCTGGCTGGTGTAGTTTTTGAACGTGGAAGTGGACCTGACCCCAAACCCTAGGCTTAGCTTTCAGTTCCCTGTGATCCCCAGGGCAACCCACGCGCCACCTGTCCGGGCAATGCCTAAATCCCCATCAGTACTCTGGTTTCTCTCCAGGTTGCATACTTTCACCTTTTACTAAATCCCCATCAGCTTCTGCCACAGCAACCACCAAAGAACAGTAGCCATGGCCCTCCGCTACCCCATGGCCATGGGCCTCAACAAGGGCCGCAAGGTGACTAAGAATGTGGACAAACCGAGGCACAGCCACTGTCGCGGACACCTCACCAAACACAGAGTCCATGTGGGACATGATCCGGGAGGTGTACAGCTTCATCCTCTATGAGGGGTGTACCAAGGAGCTGCTCAAGGTCTCCAAGGACATGTGCGCCCTCAAGTTCATCAAGAAAAGGGTGGGGATGCGCATCCGCGCCAAGAGGAAGCGTGAGGAACTGAGCAACATGCTGGACGCCACGAGGAGGGCAGCTGCCAAGGACTGAGCCCCTCTGGAATAAAGCTTTGCAGAAAGTTAAAAAAATAAAAAGTAAAAAAATTTTCCCTATCAGAGCTGTCTGTGCCCAACCCGTGGGTGCCTGGCCAGCAAGTCAGTAACTGAGACATTCTATGGCCGCCTGCCTGCTCATCAGTCCTGGCAAAGCACGTGCTTCACCCTGGCCTTACAGTGCCTGCTGTGTCCTCAGAGGGCCTCTCTATCCCCTCTGAGCCCCCGCGCCTCTGCTGGCACCTGCCAGAAGCCACGGTTTGTCTATCACTGCACAGCTTACCCTGCCCCGCCCCGCCCCCAGACAGTGGACTTAAGGCAGCTGTCTGTGTGTTCACTGCACACACCTGGGCTTAGCACATGCTAGCGCCAAACAGGCACCCAGGATAGCGCATGTGCAAAGGGCCCTGCCCTGAGCTGGCAGCCTGCCACGAGGAAGGGCAGGAAACAATGCAGAGCTAAGGGAGGGGTCATGAATCACAGCAGAAAGTGCCACAGCGAATACAAAGCCGCATAGTGTGAGGTTGGAGCTGAGAGCACAGGGGTGGCCTGCAGCTTCCTTGGAGTGACACGGTGGGCTGCAAATGAGGCAGAAGCCCAGAAGCAGGGGACAGTGGAGGTGGTGAGGGGAGTGAAATAAAACTTTGGGGAGGGGGGCCATCTGCCTGTGGGTGCTCTGGATCTCGGGGTCCCTGAGAATGCAGCTTGATCTGAGTGGACTCTATGATGCAGGCAGACAAGGAGGGCAGGGAAGGCAGCCGCGCCAGCCATGTAAGCTGCCACCGTGCATGTGGGAGAGGAAGCCAGCAAGGCAGCAGGCCTTGGCTGGAGCCAGAGGTGAAGGCAGGGAGTCTGGGGAGGAAGGGTGGGCGCTGAGCCCATGCCACAAGAGTCTGGGGTGCTCTGAGAGGCAGAAAGGCGCATGAGGGGTTGAAGCGGCCGGCTGGAAACCACCATGGTGCTGGCATCTTCCTTCCTGGGCCTCTGGCTCTGAACACGGGCGGATCCCCGCAGAGCACCTTGTAGCTGAAAGGGTGGCTGAAGTGCATCAGTGTTGCATGCCCTGGTGCCCCCCAGCTGCCCCCAACCCATGGCCACCAGGGCCCTTTAGACCTGGGTCCTGCTGCCCTCTTCCCCAGCTCCTCCAAGACGACTAGCAGCCATGTGATGGCTCTGGTCCTTGCAGGGCCCCCTTGGAGTTCCCACACAGACCTTGAAGCATCAGGCCTCCTTTCCAACAGAAAAGCTGAGCCACTTTACAACTTTCACAGCTCTATTTTGTGCAAGTGGCGGTGGTGGCTTGATAGCCCCGCAAACACCTGGTGTTGGAACTGGCCCTGGGAAGTCCATGTCTTCTTCTGGTAGGGAGGGGAGGCATCTGCTACATGAGACGAGGCCTCCAGCTGCTTCGCTGTGAATGGCTGGCCTTGGGCTCAGTGGGGAGGGAGTACAGGGAGTCACTGCCTGTCCAGCCACCTCCATGTGGGGCCCAGCTGCAAAGTCCTAACTTGGAATATTGCTCTAAAGAAATCAGATTCCTTGAACCAGCTTCTATTGAAAAGGACAGAATCGGAGTATCAAGGGGAAGACCCTGGGGAGAAGGAGGGCAGTCGCAGGCTTTGCTCCTCAGGGCCGAGGGTCAGGCCATCCCTTGTTCCTCCGCACAGCCAGGCAGCCGGAGGCACCAGTGGGAGCATGGTGGCTTGCTGACCCACGTCCCTTAAAGAGCAGCAGTAAACCTGTCTAGTGTGGGGTACAGGTGTAACCCCAAGCATGGTGGGGCTGAGGCAGAAAGAGCTTCAGCTGGAGCTCGGTTTGGGCAACTCAGCGAGACCCCACCATTGACTAAAGAAGCAAATCCAATAGCACAGCAAGACAGTGGCTCCAGGGCCAGGGCTCCTGGGAGCCTGCAGTGGCTCTGCTGGGCACATGGGTGCAAAAGGCCTCAGAGGACCCGGGTGGGAGCCCACCACAGAGCTGCGGTCCTGACCCCGGGTGTGGCTTGCCCAGAAGTCTGTGTGCAGCGACCCAAGTGTGAGAGACAGACCAGACCGGGGCCTTCGTGAGCAAGGGCTGCCCCTGCCACCCCAGCAGCCCACGATGCTCAACACCAGCCTCATCTGTGTATGCTGACAGGGCAACCACACACAGCCGCCCCTGGGGGAGGGGACCAGAGTCATGCCTCCAGTCCTGCCACAGGATGCACCCCTGAGGGCATGCCGTGGGGGTGCTCGCACTGCTGTCCTCAGGCCTTGTATGCGCCAGGACACTCCAATGTGACAGGTCCTCATCCTACAGAGGGGGATGTTTGTTGTTAACATGTTCGGTAACAAACTAAAGTTAGCTTTAGGGGCTGGGGAGATAGCTCAGCAGCATAAGCACCTGCCTGGCAAGTGCAAGGACCTGAGTTCAATCCCCAGTACTAAACTTAAATAAAAGTGAACTTTAGGGCTGGGGGTGTGGCTCGGTGGTACAGTGCTTGCCTAGGAGGTGTAAAGTTCTACCCTTGTTCAATTTCCTGTACTGCAAAAAAGAAAAAAAAAAAAAAAAAAAAAAAAAATCTTGATCTAAGGCTTCCTGCTGGATGCACA